ACCAGCACGGATCAGCTCCAGGCATGACGAAGCAGATATCGTCCTCTTTTGGAAGGCCAAACAAAGTAGTTTCGCTTTCACAACGAAGCACACAGCGACTCCACAACATGGCGGCAGCAACAACAATACTACATCGAGAATAAAAGTTACGCCTTCTTTCTTTGCGTGAACATTTGGGCGGTGTTATGCAAATCTTCCCACATAGTGACGTAGACATGTGGGGGCGTGTTAGAACGAGCCGTTTTAGGTAGCTGTGGCTTACTCTTAACTTTTATAATGAATATCTCTTTGGATTTGAGACTTTAGTCTTTGCAACTTTACAGATCTTCTTTATGCACCAAGAGCTTGTAACACTCCAAAGAGAAAGGAAAAATTGAAATCGCATCATATGACCCCTTTAAAGACCCAAAAAAGCATGTCTTAAACTATTTTGCGCTTCAAATGGCTGCATTTGTTGTTGCCAGAAGGAGGCAGCGCAGAGAACAGAGAGTGTGTGGTAGAAAGGAGAGGATTTTTTCCACACGTATTAATTTATTTGGAATGCCAGAAGAACACATTATCTGATTCTGCATCATATCCTCATGCTACTTTGCGCTGCGCTTGGTAGATTGTGTTGGTCCTTATGGAAATTAGATGTTGCGTCTCTGTTCTTTAATTTGTGCTTTGTCAGAAAATCACCCGCAGAAATTTCCACTCCCATCGGCGCCGTTTTGGAATTGCACTCTCGTGCTAATTTGCCCTGTTTAGTAAAACTGGCCCTATGTGACTTTTGAAATCTATAAATACATTTCTAAAATCAGCTCAAATGTAAACATGAGTGATATCCTCTGACTGGATGGACTTAAGAGTCAGAGTCTATCCTCATCATACATTATGAAAAATCTCTGACTACCCAAAATCTGCAGACTGACTAAGACTTTCTAGACTCGTCTAGACTGCAAATCTGTGCAAACGTCATTGTTTTCCAGCCTTTCGTTACATTATCTGCCATTGGTTGTGATACTTTGCTCTGGCTCTCTCTTGCAGACAACGCTCGGCTCCGGCGGAAGAGCATCGCCACTGGGAAGCAGCCAAGCATGGAGATCCCACCCACTGCCCCCCCACAACCCTTCCGACAATCCTCTCGCTCCCATTTGCACCTCTGCCCCGTCTCCCTCCACCGGCCTCTCCTCTTCACAGTCCCAGAAGAGAGTCAGCACCCCTCCGCTCCCCCATTCCCTGCCGCTCTCCCCGAGTGTCTCTCTGACTCTCCCTCCCTCTGTCCCGCTCTCTCATTGGGCTGCTGGTGAGTGGAAGGTTGTGGGTTCTAATCCAGGGACCGGACCCAGTGTGGCGGCTCTGCCCTGTCTTGAGGTATGTTATCTAACAGCCGAGTGGCTCGGAGGGGTTAGACAAACAGTTAGTCAAGCAGGAAGCAAACAAGTTCATCTGTTCCCTAGCCAATGATTGAGTCATTATGTCTGAGTTCATCAGATGGAATGGCCAATTTCTTTGCGATAAACCAGTGGAGACCTTTTTGTCTGTTTAATAATAGGATGAATGTGAAGACTTTTTAGTGTCCCGGTTTAATTCAAGTGTTCAGGGATTTGAGTGACTTGGAAGATACTTAAAGGGATAGTTCAACCAAAAATCTAAATTCTGTCATCATTTGCTTACCTTCAAGTTGATCCAAACCGGTATGAGCTTCTTTCTTCTGTCGAGCACAAAAGAAGATATTTGAAAGAATGTCAGTAACCAAGTAGTTGACGGTAGCCATTGACTTCCATTATATCTGACAGAATTGTCATTTTTGGGTGAACTGTCTCTTTAAAACTAATAATAATGGAAATGTACCATTGCAGCTATGGTTTCTGCCAAAATACAGTATGATATTGTTTATTTTTCTCTCTCTCTTTTTAGTGATAAACTAATGTAGACCTTTTTGTCTGTTTAAATTAGAATGAACATGATGACTTTTGTTTAGGTTTAATGTCCCGGTTTAATTCAAATAGCATTGCAACCACAGATCAATTATTCTAAAATAATTGTTTTGGACATGATTATCTATTACTGCCCCTTTTTACAGAAATAGTGGTTAAAAAGTAACATTTTACTACAAAAATATTACAAATAATATGAAAATGTATTTTTTATAAAACAAAGATTATTGGAGTATATTTAACCTGAAGTCTTTCCACTCAATAATTTTTTCATTTACTTAAATGTGTTACATCTCTGTGTTTATTTGTCAAATTTACTAGCAATTTATGAGTGAAAATGGTTGCAAATTAAATCCTGCACCTTTCTTTTCAGTGTAGTGAAAAATAAAAGTCATACAAATCAATTCAAAGTATTTTCTTTGAATAAAAAAGTTCACTTCTAATCACTGTTTGGTTGCTTATTGGCCCTAGTCAAGAGTCCATCTGTGATTTTCTGCCTCTAGATGACTATTCAGTGTTAGCCCATGAGATTTCCCCCATTTTTTCGTGTGCTAGACAAACATTGTAAAAATAAATAAATAATAAAATAAATAAGTTGTCCTATTACTTAGAAATATAACAGCACAGCTCTCTAACGCGGCACATGAATTGAGACAGCATTCATTTCTGTCAAACAAACAATGTAAGACAACTGCCAAGTTAAAAAAGTGCTTGTTCACGTGTGAGCAATAGTAATATTGATGCTTACCTTAGCATACTACTATAATGACTGTATTAGCATAACAGTTTGGCCGAAACTCTGGTTGCTGTGGTATGTTTTTGGGAAGGGATGTCAGCAAATGACTGCGATAGTAAATGAGAGGCACTCCAATGATGTGACACTGCAATACATGCTTACATGCTTTGCATGCTTAATATTTTAGTGGTAATCAGATAAATTTTTTAGGTTAAGAAAAGTGCATAAATGCATTTCTTAAAGGGTTAGTTCACCCGAAAATTAAAATTCTGTCATTAATTACTCACCCTCGTGTTGTTCAAAAGCCGTAAGACCTTCGTTCATCTTCAGAACACAATTTAAGCTATTTTTGATGAAATATGAGGGCTCTCTGACCCTCCCATAGACAGCAAGGTAACTACCACGTTCAAGGTCCTGAAAAGTACCAAGATGATCGACAAAGTAGTCCGTGTGACATCAGTGGTTCAACTGTAAATTTACGAAGCTACGAGAATACTTTTTTGCGCAAAGAAAACAAAAATAACGACTGTATTCCACATTTTCGTCTCTACTGCGTCACTTGTGGACGCGCGTTCACGACAGTATCATGATACGAGCAAAACTACAAAGAGTCTTAATATCAGTCCTTTAATTAATCTAAATTCTGCTTTAGAAATACAGAGCTCATTTAGGACCGCAGAACTGACTAGATTTGCATTTCCTGAAGGAAATAACAGTTCTTGCAAGGCAGCAAAGTTTTAGGCTTTGGAACTGCGTAAATGAAATGCTGCTTTCCAAATGGGAGATTTTCAAAATGTAATCTGAAGTTTCTTTGTAAGTTTACAAAAACTAAAAATAGATAGCACACCTGAGGATGAAACAAGGTTGAATGACAGTTTGAGATGAGTGAGTAGTTTGGGCTGAATTGAATTGTGCAACTTTGATACTAAGGGTTACTAGTTTAAAATGAGCCCCCTAGCCAAAATGTTTGAGGAATATCAGTACACCGTTGCCTTGCAATAACTATAATCATCACGGAGGAGAAGAGTTTTCACAGCTTCATCTGCTGTGTCTAAGCATTCTTCTGTTGATGGGTTGTGTCTTTTCAGGTTTTATCTGAGATTGCACGTCTTATGAAAGCATTACGAGCACAGTGAGATCTGACGTTGTTTTTACTCTGCTGTGACGTGAACCTCTTGCCTGCTGTTACCAGTTTGTTCTTACTGTAGGCGTCAGGAAATATTTATGAAGCAACACTTCCCACTATTGGTTGAGTGTGGATAGTGCAACATTGCTGGAGTGTTTTTCCTCCAGCAAAGGAAAATCATTTCAGTCAGTTGCACCACAATTTTACATCTGCTAATCTAATTAATAATAGAATTATGTAGATAAATAATTATATATAATAAAATATAATAAAGAATTGCTTTTTAAATATATATTTTTCATTTTACATATGCTCATTAAATGT